TCGATTTTAGGGATAGTCCACTTATTAAGTAGACCCAGGTTATCTGGAATGTCATAATCTTCAATTATACTGTTTTTAACAGTATTTTTCATTCCAAAAATATTCATAAGAATATTTTAATATATGTGCCAGATCAAGAACTATATTCTAAATATAATATTTACTCCCATGGCTCTGATACCATTTAAAAAATAAAAGAAAAAATCAGTATTTATAGAAATGATCAAGAAAAACGAGAGGAAGATGAGAATACTAGTCCTTTCAAACTATTATTATTATTATTATTATTATTATTATTATTATTATTATTATTATTATTATTATTATTATTATTATTATTATTATTATTATTATTATTATTATTATTATTATTATTATTATTATTATTATTATTATTACTATTATTATTATTATTATTATTATTATTATTATTATTATTATTATTATTATTATTATTATTATTATTATTATTATTATTATTATTATTATTATTATTATTATTATTATTATTATTATTATTATTATTATTATTATTATTATTATTATTATTTATAAAAAAAAATTGCGCTCGCGTGATTTTATACGAGCACCGACTCAGGTCTCGCGTGATTTTACACGACCATTGAGAAGGTTCTCGCGTAAAATAACACGAACAAAAAAAATAAAATTATTCATCTTCTCGTGTGATGTTGCACGAGCACATGCCATGTGCTCGTGCAAACTCTCACGAACACAAGAAAAAAAAATCAAGTACTCGTGTGATATTACGCGAGCACATGGCATGTGCTCGGTAATATCAAACGAGTACTTGAAGATTCGAGAAAAAATGAAAATATTACCTCCGGGTCAATATTTGTTGGATCCATTTCAGAAATTGTTGAATATCTATTTTTTTTGCAATGAATGTTGAAATTCGGTTTTTAAAGGATTATAGAATTTAGAAATAAAAATGTAAAATGGTAAAAACTTAAAGTAAAAAGATAAAAAGTTATGGTAAAAAAGTGCTTGTTCGCCAAAATAGCGCCTGCGTATATAACCACCCATTAATAAGGATATTTGAGATAATTTACTCGAATAAGTTGAAAAACTTAATGTGCAAATATATAAAAGTTTAGGATATAGCATACGTTTGGAGAATCAAACATTAAGCTGGAATAGCTCAGTTGGTTAGAGCGTGTGGCTGTTAACCACAAGGTCGGAGGTTCGACCCCTCCTTCTAGCGTTTTTGGTATTTAATTTATTCTTAGCGTTTTTGGTATTCAATTTAATTTATTCCTAATATTTAATTTTAAATAAAAATTATCTTATTTAATCATTTCACACATATTTTAAACTATTATAATAAAATGTATTATTATTTATTAGTATTCAATTTGATTTATTCTTAATAAATACTATGTTAAAAGTGGTATTCAATTTAATTTATTCTTAATATTTAATTTTAAATAAATTTATCTTATTTAATCATTTCACACATATTTAAACTATTATAATAAATTTATTTCGAACGATTTTGATATATTAAATATAAGGGTGGGAAATATAATGGAATTTCCGAATTCAGCCAATTCTGATATGAAAATATCCGAATTTGGAACCATATTTTTCATTCTGATTTCTGAAGTTTTTAATTCTGATTCTTCCGAATTTCTTTGGAACGGAATTACTATGGTATATAAAATTACCGGAAAATCCGATTTTCGATCCTATTTTAGTTCTGAATATTTCTTTGGTTTTTTTGAAGGGTTAATATGACCCACATCCTTTACCTTTTTTTTATCCCAAATTGGGACGCAACCTAAATCCATAAATTCTACAATTCACGTTTATCTCAGATCCATCTTTCTTATTTCTTCCCTCTTCTCTCTCTCATTCTCGCTCGTTCTCTCTCAGTCACGCTCTCTCTCTCTTTTCTCTTGTTATCTCTCTCTTTCTCGATCTCCCTCTCCATCACTTCACTCCATTGTTGAGGGGGGATGGCTATGGCGCAACTATGGCAGTGGAGGCGGCGACAATAAGGGGATGGTTATGGAGGCAAGAGGCGACGACGACGACGACTATGGTGGTGGAGGTCAGATCTATGGCGGAAGGTGGCGGCTATGCCGGCTAGATTTTAATTTGGTCGTCGGCTAGGCTTCTAACTTGATCGACGGCTATGGCGACTAGGGTTTAATTTGGTCGATAGCTAGGGTTTAATTTGGTCGGCGGCTAGGGTTGGTGGACGACTAGGTTTTGGTTGATAGGGTTTGGCGGCGGCTGAAATTTATTGGTTGCTATGATTTAATGGTGGCTGGAAGATATTGGAAGTTAGGGTTTGGCGGCGGGTGAGAGTTGTAGAACGATAGAGTTTGGAATAGTACACCATAGTATATCGTAGTATACCATAGCATAGCATACTGTAGTATACCATAGTACACCATAGTAGTCTAATATTATGTTTTTTTTTTGTTGAATTATGTTTTATATTATGACATATGCATGTTGAAGGGATCTCGTGCATCACACTAAGGTTGTGTTTGATACGATTAAGCACTGAATACTGAATGCTGAATTCATAGCTGAATGGTTAAGAGTTGTTTCTGAATACTGAATGCTGAACCATTAAACTTGTTTGATAGTTTAAGATCAATAATATGTGAATAGTAGCATATTACTGTTTTAACCTTGGTTAATTAAATACAAATATATTTGTTAATTGAATTATTGTCCAAATATATTTATAAATATAATTTTTTTAGCATGATTTACTTTATTAATAAAATTGAAAAATATCCCTCATAAATTATTCTACATCTCTCAAAAGAAATATCATGAACAAAAATAAAAGTATTTGAGTTTTTTCTTTAAACCTCCATGAGGACTTTTAAAAAAAAATTAATAATGCATATTAGATTTTTTTAAGACAAATGATGAAACATACGATTTTGTAAACATAAATGAAATAATATTTTTAAGGTATACTAGCAATTTATTTTAATATTTAAGAGGCCAATTTATAAATAGATAAAGACAAAAAAAAAAAAAAAGAAAGAAAGAAAGAAAGAAAGAAAGAAGAAGAATAATACCTCAGATGTACATAATATAATTAATAAATCTATTCAAAAGTGGAGAATACATTGAAAACAAAATATTAAAATATTGGATAGTGGTGGTATAATTTTCATACATTTCTGCACTTATTCACCTGGCGTTGATTTTCCGGCTGAATAGTTCAGATCATTTTGGAACCATTCAGTTATTACTATCAAATGCCCTGAATGGTGCAAATGCTTACCGAATCAACAAAGTTGTCATTAAGAGGCTCGTTAAGAACAATCAAACGGACCCTAAGTGAAATACTAGTATAATAATAATTCAACCTACTAGTAAAAAGAGAAGAATATAAATTATAGATACTATAATATTTTTTTATTATAAAGTTGAAAAGATTCAAATTTTTAAGATAATGAAAGAGGGTGACTTGTCTTTAAAAAGAATTAAGAAAAAAAAGGGTACAGTTGGTTTAATATATAATTTATGGGGTTTAATTGAAGATTTTATTTACTCAAAAAAAATAAAATTGAAGATTTTACTAGTAGAAGATATACAAGTGACGGTTTCTATTTAGTACATCCGCGGCAAGTGACATTAATAATGAAACATAAATTATGAAATAAGAAGAAGAAGGAGAAGAAGGAGGCTGGGATACAATAAAAAAGTAAAACATTATTTAATTAGGAAAATGTATTAATATCACTGAATATATAGTCAGAAATTGAATTTTAAATTCATATATTACTTGAATTTGAATTTTGGATTCGGTAATTTGAATTTTGAAAATTTAAGACTATTTTTAGCTTGATTGATTCATGTGGTTCGATCATGATATGCAAATTAGTTTTATGTTAAAAAAATAATCACCAAGAAAATATATGTGTAAATTTGAATTTTATAGTAGGGTTAAATACAGTTTACATTCCTATAGTATACCATCTGTAACACTTACTCCCCTAAAGTATTATTTGTAACACTTACCCCCATCAATCATAATTTAATTTGTATTTTAAATTCTGATACCGTAAAAAAAATTATTGAAAGGAATAACTAAGAGAATAATTAAATTATACAGCTAAAAATATATGTTGAAAAATGCAATATTTAAAAATTTAAAAATATTATCTTGTTTTGGGTATCTATTCTATAAATAACATCTAATTGTTGTTGGACCAATTAATCGAATATATTCATATCGATAAATTTTAAAAAATCAATACATAACTAATAGGAACAAAATTGGAACTGGTTTTCCACTTCTGATAAAAATCAATATGTTTTCGAAAGGGCTAATTCTTCCAATCTAATTCCTATCCGATTCGTCTGATTTACACCCCTGTACGAAACGTACAATATTGGATACTATATTTTGCTATTATTTTATTATATATAGTATAAATATATCAATAAAAGGGTAAATTACAAACACCCCCTTGAGATATGGTTAATTTACGAAAAGACCCCTCTTGTTTGGATAATTACATCTACCCCTCAACTATGATTTTTTTCTTACACCTCCACCCTTATGGTGCCAAATTCAACATAATCATCTAGATTTCATGGAATGTGCTCTAGTTTGTACTCGTTTTGTGTAAAAATACAGTTTTTGATGCACCACAATCTGATATATACAAGCCAAAAAACACATATTATGATCATCTTGCTTCAAAATGTAGAGTTCTAATGAGATAAAACGGGTAAAAAAAATGATAATATTCCATAATAATCTCGAAGATTCCACTAAATTTAAGGAGTTGAGGGGCAGTTGTAATTATTCAAACAAGAGGGGGGTTTTCGTAATTTGACCATACCTCGGGTGGTTGTAATTTACCCTCAATAAAATCTCGTACGAAAAGCCTTTAACTTATACTCGCTTATGCGTTTTTAGGCGCAACTACGTTTCTACACTACACTGATAGAAAAAGCCCAATGGCGATACATATATATATAACCTCCTCCAAACCCTAGATTTCATTTTTCATCAGCAGCGCCGATACACACCATTTCCTCCGATCTCCCCCCAAATGACCACCGCACTGAGGAAGAACCGCAAGAAGCGCGGCCACGTGAGCGCCGGGCACGGCCGTATCGGAAAGCACCGCAAGCATCCCGGAGGTCGGGGTAACGCCGGAGGAATGCACCACCACCGGATCCTGTTCGACAAGTACCATCCCGGTTACTTCGGAAAGGTCGGTATGCGGTACTTCCACAAGCTCCGCAACAAGTTCTACTGCCCCACGGTCAACATCGACACCCTCTGGTCAATGGTGCCGCAGGAGGTCAAGGACAAGGCCACCAAGGACAACGCGCCGGTGATTGACGTCACTCAGTTTGGGTACTTCAAGGTTTTGGGCAAGGGTTTGCTGCCCGCCGGTCAGCCCGTCGTCGTGAAGGCCAAACTTGTATCCAAGACTGCTGAGAAGAAGATTAAGGAAGCTGGTGGTGCTGTTTTGCTCACTGCTTAGTTAGTTTTTTTTAATTTAATTTAATGCAATGGGGATTTTTATTTTTATTATTATTATTATGGTTGAAAAGATTTTGATTGAAGGGTGGATTTTTAATATTGCTATGAATCTGACATTGACTTTTTTATTAAGTGATTTTTGGTATTACAGTAGATTATTGAATTTCATGGAAATGTTTTCAGGGATCTCTCTTTGCTTCATTGCCAAATATCGTAAAGTATCTGTTGATTTGATTGATCCTTCGAACCGATTCTTTTTTTGAATCGATATATATTGTTTTGTTATTTGTGCAATCATAGATTATTTGCCAACTTACTTTGACATGGTTTTAAGCTGTGTGTGTGCAATTGTGTATGATAAGTCGGCTTTTAATAAAGCTTCTTCTCTTCATGAAATTACTGTCTTGAGCTTGTAGTTGATGTTTATTTATTTTAAATCGAGTATGCCTTTGTAACGGTGATTGTGTATAGTTGAACTATGTTTTGATCAACATTTGATGGTTGGTGATCTTATGTTTCATATTTTGATGTGTTCGATTATTTAGTGTGCTTTTAAAAAATAGGTATTATCAAAACTTTACGATGGACTATGTTATGTTTAGTAGTTATGTGTGATATCCGTTAATGATCTGTTTATCGAGTATGCTTTTTAAGGACTCTGTTTTGATATTTGTTTTTATGGCCTTATGTTTGTTTTAGTGACTTGGTTATGTGGTTTTCAATGTATTTCTGGCATTAAGTTCAGTTTGAACTTTTGCCTCACATATCTTTTTTTGCATTTGCAATATGATTTGATTTAGAAAAGAAAAAAAAAAAAGAACACTTTTGAATCAAAATTCAAAAGTTGGATTTTGAGAAGAAATGAGAAGGAACTGAGCATAGATTTGAAACGAGAACGAAGTATTTAAAATTAGCATGTCCAATTTATCAATCAAGTGCAAATGAATTGACTCGATTTGCTATTATAAATTTGTAAGCAAAGTTGACTCGATTTGCTATTATGAATTCAAAATTCTGTTCGAGATTTATCATTTCTCCATCTCAAGTTATTTAGACCAAACCGATGTGAAATTTAAAGAGTCAAATACATTTAGATCGTGAACTGTGTCTGTCCATTGAGAATATAAGCCAGCTATGGTCGAGAGAGACTGTACATGATAAAAAGGACAAGGGCTAAAGAGTATGGATGAATATATACATGAACGAAAATACCCAAGATCTAGGAATTTAAGTAGGAAATCTTTATTGATCTATTTTTCGAAACATTTGGGAACAAAGAAATGCTCTTTGCGTTAGTTGTTGACGAGGATTCAAGCGCTCGAGAAGCTTGAAGAGCCATCTCCGCATGTAGTTGGAGACATGCCATCGCCAGCTGGATATATAAATATCAAACGTAAAACATGATAATTAGTGCATAAACTCAAAGAGAATAATCGCACATTCTGAAATAAACGCGGAACTAAAATTGCAGCTTTATCCAAACATTGTTATGTGATTATAGCTGCTTTAGCAAATTTAACTACTACATAAAGCTTTTCGGTAGTCATGCCAAAAAAAAATATATGAACGACTGAAAATGGGTATCAAATCATTTATAAATAATAATCGAAGCTTCAGATAGAATAACGAAATGCATTTTCCAACATGGAGTCGTTTAATATTCATCCAGTGCTTATTAGACATATTCAGCTTTACGGAAACTAATACTTTCTTGCTTACCGTGTTACATTCGCTGTCTGTATCTGACTCAGCCACCCGCAGCGCCCACGTGCGAATCCACTCGAGCCCTTCAGAGATTCCAATATTCCCTTCGACCACCGCAGATGCAACATACGAGGGATGAAGTGCCATTAAAACACACGAGGCTGCAAAAAGGACAGACCTTCTCACATATGCTTCTGCATGCTGAAATATCTCCCTGCACAATATGGCAAACAAAACCATGCTCTAATTCATCCTCTATATATACAAACTCAAACGTAGAAAAATTAAATCGTTTCTATACCTGGATCTTAACATATCCAAAAGAGGGGATGCCAAAACAGAAGCTTCCGGATGCATAGCCGCACATTTCATACAAATACCGAGCATATATATAAGTTTTCCCAGTACAACAAAATCCCTTCCCAATAAATCAACACCGTGTCTCTTTTTATCATATCCTTGCATAGCTGGGAGCATAAAAGCCGCAGCATATTGAGGAAAGTTATTTTGAGACCGCTCTATCTGAATACCCTGCATCGCCGATCGAGTGCTCCATCGACGCGTCTTTCCCCTCTTTATCTTACCTGCTTTGGACGGTAATTCTCTCTCATACGAATAAGACCAGTTCAACGGAGTTTCTGTCGATGAGATTTCCTTCCAGGACCCTGCTCCTATAGGACCAATATTTCTTGGCACAAACCATGGTTCGTCGGAAATGGATGATACAAGGGGCGTCGGTCGGTGTTCTGATTTTAATACTCTAGCACTGGCAAGCTCTTTAGCTGAATCGATCATTACATCCAGAACCATTACCCTCTGACTCATGTCTACGTTGGGTGAATAAAGAAGTTTGTGCAAACTATCGAGAGATTCAATAGGGGATGTGACAAGTAATGCCACGAGCGCCTTTTCTCGTTTTTCTTCCGCTGATTCTTCTTCTCCTTCGACAGTGGCTTCAGAGCAACGAACCTGTACGAGAGCTTTAGCTAGATCACCTGCTATGTATTTAAGCTCGTCTGGTGATGCCCGAATGAGTTTCTCAGCAACATCAAGGGCCTTCTCAACCTGAAAATTGGGGAAGGTCTAAAAGTTTAAGCAATACTGTTTAGAATAAATTAAGCATCTTAGTCCCATTCATAATAAAACATGAAAATTGTAATAATACCATGTGACTTTTGCAAATAATTAACCAACTCTTGGGAGTTTGTCAGTGGGAGGATTTTGCTAACAGAAAAAAATCGTAGTAGTAACACAGCAAAAAAGTTGTACCAGACACTTCCCAAAAGGTATTTAATTGATCTATGGATACATACTTTCGACAATTACTTCATATCACAGCCTTCAGTATAATTTATCAATGTGGTCATAAACAGCAGAAAGATGTATATTATAAAAAAAGAGGCATGTAGAAGTTTGGTGAATAATCGTGAACTTACACCCTCAACATCGTCCGGTTTTCTAAGTGCTCCAACCACATCAACTAACTGTGAGAATTTTCTTTTCAGATCTGCATCATCATCTGTCAAGTCATATGGTTGCAACGACGAGTTGCTTGAAGTGTCGGAATCCTCACTTGCATCACTCTCATCTTCATCAATGGTGGATTCAATATTTAGTGTTGCCGGATCAATAACCTCATCTGGGTCAATTAAATTGAACGCAGTCTCTTTTTTTCCAGCTTTTGAGATTTTACCAACCCCATTATTTTCCCTCCTTTTAATTTCTTTTCCTGATTCTATGGTAGACGGGCATTCTTTTTCGTCAGTCTTTTCATTGTCAAGTGCTTTCGTTACAGGCACTTCTCTGCGGTTTCCAAACCCAAAGTTCCAGTCAATGGTTTCTTCCTGACAACTATCGTCGAGATATAACGGATTTTGAGGGTCTATTATCCTGGAAAATACCAAAGCGATAGTGCTCGCCATTCTTCGGATCAAATATATAGGGCTCTCCAACCTACCTGCCAACAGTTTAAATATTTTAGTATGATTACTAACTTCAAATAAACAATTAACAAGATTTTTAAATTAGAGAGAAAAGGAGCCATATCCTACAACTAATTCCCTGAAGAATTGAGTGCAGAGCATCTTTCGTTGCATCTAGATCTTTCTTAGACATCTTCTCCAGGCAAAGTCCTAAAGCAGCAGTTACATCTGAATCCTATGTTAAGGTTTTACGAGAGAAAAAGGAATAACAACAGTTAAACAACAAAAATGACAGAATAAATAGGATGTTTTCACGTAGATAATATTCATAAATAATTTGTTGTCATCCAAGTAAAAGCATCAAAAGTAAGCTAGATACATTTTTTCTGTTCAATTGACTCCTAAAATCGTCGTTACCATTGCTGATAATTGATATTAAAAAGAAAAGAAAAGAAAAGGATACAAGCTTGCTGCTCAGTTGGAGATGATTGCATAAACTCTTTTCGAGACCATGCTACAACAAGGCGGTTCACAGAGTCCGACAGACCATCAGCGTTATAAGATTTTAACGAAGCACTATCAGGGGCGCATTCAAGCACAGCAAAGTGAATAATCCATCTTAAGCAACTGGTAGGAAATACTTTCCAGAGTAAAAACTTTTCCACAAAAGTGAACCTGGAAGATAGAAGGGTAGAAGTATTACAGAAAAATATGTAATGAGACAAAAACGAAAAAAATATTAAAAAATACCAATCATTGATTTAAAAAAAAAAAGAAGTGGAGTGCGCATCAATATTTATATACCTGATTGAAGTTTGGCGCTTATAGCTCCGACCAAAAAGAATCCATAAAATCCAGTAACCCTCAACATCATTAACATTTTGAGCAGCTAGCTGATGCAATAGTTCTTCAGCTATTCTTTCTACAGAATGGGAATCATTTACTGCTTCCATGATCTTCAACCAGAAACGGGAACCAGGTTTCGACTCGAATATTTCACTAACGGCTAGACCAGAGGTTGATGATAAAACACTTCTAACATGCCCAAGGATCTGCCGAATCACTTCACTCAACAGCACATCTGCCAATATGTAAAAACTAGAGTTTTATGCTACTTTGTACAGGTCAAAATATGCAGATTCCAAGAAATTTGCTTCAGGCTTTAGGAATATAAAAATACCAGCAGACCCTCGCCGACAGATTCGGGAAAATGCCTGTCCAACAAAAAGAATAGTGCCATCCATATGGATTTCATTTGCACCAGCTGACTTATCAACCAACTTCAAATCCCATTCCTCTGCTCCATGCAGAAGTTGGGTTGCAAGTCTTTTGAAGAACAAACTGGAGCGATCAAGTAAAGAATAAAACAGTCCACAAAGGTAATTGCAAATATTGAATTTAGATTGATGTCCCAATACCAAAAACATAAAAAAGGGGTTGCATGTAAAAGAATAAGAAACAAGTCAACGATTTGTTGATAGCATGCAGGTCCTATCCTGCACCTTTTCTAGTATTTTAGTTTCCTTTTCTTGTCAGTTAAATCAAATATCTTAAGCAAGCTTCAGTTTTAGTTATAGCAGAAGGTTAAAAAAGATTAATGTGATTTATTCAACAGATTCAACTACAGAAACTAACTGTTAGAATCTGTCCCATTATCGTGGAACATATGCAAAGCAAGGTACACACATCACTGTGACATATAAATAAATCACACAGAAAGTATGTAAAAGTTTGGGATGAGGATACTGTGCGGAAAGTGAAGGTGGAGATCCCCTTCTTGCTTTGTCTGGGATAGATGTAATAAGCTGTGAGACCCCAGAAATAGCCTGCTTCAGTTGTTCACGGCTAAGATCTTCAAATTGATAACCACCAGCAAATTCTCTTGTCATCTGAATCAAAAGGTCATTCTCCAGCAGGCAAAGCACAAGTAATCTATTAAAGATCGAGTTAGATAGAAGGGATCAAATGACCGAGGAATGTTGTGTCACGGAGACATACGTCACTACAATTTATTAAATATAAAAATGCCAATAATTCATAAAGAGATTAAGCACACACAACGAGTAAGGCGTAAAAAAGTCCATGCATTTAGTGACCATTGATGTACTGCAACAGTAAGAAGCAAATTAAATTCTCCTGCAAACTGTAAGCAATTTCACAAATTAAACCCCCCAGACGTATATCTGAAAAGGTTTATTTTAGATCTATGACCCAAGTTACAAATCAAGATTTAAAGGTGACCCCATCCTGAGAATTATAAAAGAAACAGATGCGCGACACAGAAATCAAAGCCATGTCCTACAAGATAGAAACACATGGTATTCTAAACTAAGCTTAGAGTTTCAACCCAGGACAGAAATCACATTAGCAGTTAGGGATCACTCATTTCACTGAGGGAGGACTCGCGACAAGGTTGAAACCTGATGTAGTAATTTATATCTTACATGTACACACCAACCGTATACAGTACAAGAACCATCGATCCTGAAACCTAACACTTCAAAACTTTTAGCCTAACAATTCCTCCTTACTTCTAAAAATAAGAAAAAACATATGTAATGAGATTAACACTAATCAATGAGGATTACACGACTTATTTTCAGAACAACAATAGAGATCTTTACAAGGTTATTCACATCGTGGATTCACAAGTGGCATAGATGGAAAGAGAACAAAAAATCTAGAATGAGATTCATTATCACGACACCGAACCAAATTAGAGAGCTACCTATCAGATGTTGTGCAAATATGTGTAATAAATACAGCATGGCATGAAAAGGACGACTGATAGCTATAAACGTAACGTAGATAGAGGTGAGCGTTATAAATATTTATTCCAATGTTTGTTGTTATCTTATCTTCATTCACTTTTTTACTGTCTCAAATTAAACCATACACCACATTTTTCTGTACATTTCCCTCGAAAACAATCTTCTATTCTCCAAAAGCATTTTAATCATTACACTCCAAAACATCTCCCAAGATAAAATCCTTCCAAACATCCTAATCATCACAATTGAAAAAACTTGCTGAGATAACGTCGAACATATATCAAATTTTCTAAAAATACCATTCCCTATACCATTTCATCCAGAACACTCGAAATGAAACCAAATATTTATTAAAAATTACCTCTCAGCATTCAAGCACACAGCACTTGAGTCGTGACCGCCACTTCCATTAAATTGTAGACAAGGAACCACCGCTTGAACAACCTCAGAAGCACAACCATTTAAGAAGAACACATCATATACATGTTTCCTCACAGAAGCTGTAAAGCAGGCTATCCAATTGGAAGCAACATCTGCACATCACCACAATATCTTTTTCAGAGAAAAAAAAGCAAAATAGAGAGCCGTATTATAATCCTCCAGCATTGAATGAACAGACTCTACGACCAAAGTAACAATTTCAATTGTCTGGCATCTTTACAAACAGCATAGCATTTTATCTTGATAACCATGCAAGAATCAATATTTTCAAATAAAATATGGAGCGTTTTTCTAAGTTGCAGAAAACCGACACTGTTAAATCAATTAACTACTTCGAAATCATCAATGTAAGCAATGATATTATAGTTTTTCTAAAGCACACACATGACAAAATACAATAGAGGAATATTCCAGGCCTATATCGATTTATCACCCTGTAACGTCAATAGATAATTCAAATACACTACCAATTCGAAGCATAATTCAAACAGCAATGCCGATAAAAAATGGACCTATTAGAATAGTATATTAGGCCAGAGCGGTAAAATTTACCATATAAAAGAACTCTTGCAAAAGCACGGAATGGAGACCCTCTGTAGAAAACACTCCACCATTGAGTTTTCTCGTCTTCATTCGGAACCTCCAAAGCACATAACTACCCAAAAAAGAAAAATAAAATAAAATGTAATTGCAGGCCATTAAATTCAACATAATAAATTCAAATTTTTTTTTCATGCCTCACTCGATTTTTATTCGATAATATGATCCTACGACTAAAACCTCATTACATATACACAAAATGCATACCTCCTCTCGATATTTCTCGTCAAGGCTACCTACATTTCCCACAAAAAAAAAAAAAAATTAGCGCTCAGGAATTTTAGTATATATACTTTATTGTTCGAATAAATTAAGCTGAATTCGTTGTTCAGAAAAAAAAAAAAAAATTGGGGGAACCTGAAATATGACTGGGGTTTAGGGGGAAAAGGCAGACGGCGAGAGAGTAAAGAGCTATTATAACTTGGTCCACGTGCTTTGCATCATCGACGGCGGAGATGACGTGTCCGACTTTCTCCAGTACTATTTTCTCCAGTTCTCTCCTTCTCATCTCCGGCGATTCATTTTCCATGGAGGTTTTAAAAAGTGAGCAAATACGCCGGAATGAATCGTGTAGAAACCTCGAAAACCGCCAATTGCTATAACTTAACTACTTATGGGGTTTGATTTTCGGTCTCCTCTGCCACCAGCAGCGGCGGAGGACGGAGTGGCGGGTGGTGTAGCTTGTGAATTGGAGAGAACTTCAAATGCAGAGATTAGCGCTGCGATTGTCAAATCAATATCTATTTTTTTTGTTTAATTTCTGAATGTTTGAATAAAATACTAATTTTTGAATTATAAACATCCGAGTGGTGATTTTTTTTTTTTTGTTTAATGAATTATGAATAAAAAATAATTGACCTATAATTACTTAATTAGAAAAAAAAAATAACAAAATTAAAATTGATGTATATTAAATTCTAAAAAAAAACATATATTCATACAAAATTAAAAAAAAAAAAAGAGGTTAAAACATATTAGAGATGATTTGAATATATGAAAGGGTAAATTACAACCAACTCCCCTGAGGTATGATCAATTTACGAAAAAATCCCTCTTGTTTGGATAATTACATCTACTCCTTAATTATGATTTTTTCTTACAATTCCACCTTTATGGTGTCAAAATCAAAATAAACGTCTGGATTTCGTGGAATGAGCTCTAGTTTGTACTCGTTTTGTGTAAAAATACAGTTTCTGGTGCATCACAATCTTATATATACAAGCCAAAAAACACATATTATGATCATCTTGCTTCAAAATGTGAAGTTCGAATGGGATAAAACGGGTACAAAAGTGATATTATTCTATATAATCTAGAAGATTCCACTAAATTTTATAGTTGAGGGGATGGTTGTAATTACCCAAACATGAGGGGGATTTTCGTAATTTGACCATACCTCAGGGATGTGGTTGCATTTACCCTATATGAAAATATAATAAAGTCTAATTTAATTAAGTAATTAAATTTTAAAGTCGTAGCTGAAAATAAGATAAATTTTGTTAGTAAATAGTAATAAATATAATTTAATCAACTATCCTTATTATATTTTATGTTATTTTATTTTACTATATTATAATAAAGAAATTTAGGAATTGCAAAACACAACATTTTGTTTTCACACAACACATTCACCACCGCCTGTACAACCCAAAAAAAAAACCTTCTGAACCTCAAACGATGGCGGCGGCGGCGGTTGCCATACCCGAAACACGGAAGCTCCCACGGCCGGGCCGCGGCGGAGTAGTCGCGCACGGACTATCGGAAGAAGAAGCCAGAGTCAAAGCAATCGCCGAAATAGTCTCCACAATGGTCGATTTGTCGCGCAAAGGTCTCGACGTCGACCTGAACGCCCTAAAATCCGCGGCGTGCCGGAAGTACGGCCTCTCGAAGGCGCCGAAGCTCGTCGAGATGATCGCCGCGCTCCCCGAATCCGAGAAGGAAGCCCTACTTCCCAAACTCCGAGCCAAACCCGTCCGAACCGCCTCCGGGATTGCCGTGGTCGCCGTTATGTCGAAGCCCCACCGCTGCCCGCACATTGCCACCACGGGGAATATATGCGTGTATTGCCCCGGGGGCCCGGATTCCGATTTTGAGTACAGTACGCAGAGTTACACTGGATATGAGCCTACTAGCATGAGAGCTATTAGGGCTAGGTATGTAAATTTTCGTCAATTTTGTTTTACTTCTCCTGAGATGCTTATGAAGCAGGTTATTAATACTCATTTTATTAGCTTGTATTTGGTGAAATTGTCGATTTTAAGATCAATTTTATACAGCACTAGTCAATTTTTGTAATTTGTGTTATACTTCTTAAATCATAGATGAAGACTGAGTTATCACTAGTTCACTACACATTTAGGTCTCGTTTGGTTGGGGAGATTAGCCATTATTAACTAAATAGTTGGGTTTTGATTGATGTTTGGTTATGTTATATGACTTATCTTGCCTTCTAGGCATGTTTTGTATTGGATCTTTCAAGGTTCAATAATACAATTGAGTTTTATTAGATTATTTAGTCTTATCTTGGTCGATCTTATCTTGGCAACCAAACGAGGCATAATTAGACTTAAGGCCTTGTTTTGTTGAGTAGATTAGCAGCCATGATTTACTAAGTTATTAGTCTTTATTTGATTGTTTGGTATCTCCAATAACTTGTCGTGTCGACCCGCAAAAATTATGTTATCTTGTCTTATCTTACTTTCTAGGCATGTTTTTTTTATTGGATCATCGCAGGTTCAATAATATAATTGTGTTTCATTAGATTATTTAATCTTATCTTGGGTAATCTTATCTTGGCAACCAAATGAGACCTTAGTCTTTTGTCATCTGGCGAAATTGATTTGGGTTTTCAGTGTAATTACGAGCAGGGTAGTTGGAGATTTTAGGTGAATAAACGCTCTGAATTTAATTAAAGGATCGATTCGTTAAAATGAATCAGTTCTTCAGTTCTGCTGTAGTAATAACCTTAGAAGATACTTGTTAATTCTTTCGATCCCTTCTTCGTTCGATCGGGCTTTATCTTGTATTCTGTTAAACTGTTTAGATGTATTTCAACGAAATCTTATTTTTCGTCGTTGGTTGTGTTTTAGATACAATCCTTATGTTCAGGCGAGAGGCAGGATTGATCAGCTTAAGAGGTTGGGTCATAGTGTTGATAAGGTTTGCTTCTCTTACCACAGACTGAAAATTTCTGCACCGACATTAAGCAACCTGAATAATGTTCCTTGTTTCAAACTTTTATGGACAATACAGGTTGAATTCATTTTGATGGGTGGTACTTTTATGTCGTTGCCTTCGGACTACCGCGATTATTTTATTAGGAATCTTCATGATGCTTTATCGGGGCACACTTCTGCCAATGTTGAAGAAGCAGTGTCTTACTCCGAGCACAGCGCGACGAAGTGTATTGGAATGACGATTGAAACGTAAGTTGCAAATGATTCTCTTTTTCTACGTGCAACAGTATTTTTTTTTTTTTTTGCATTTTCGTACTGGGTCAGAATTGCTGATTGGGGGAAAATGTTGACCTGTGATTCTTAGACTCCTAAAAGGACTGCTATATTTCAATATATGTAATATTCTGCAGAAAATGAGAAGAAGTTCTTAAGCAATTGTAATATTCTGTGACCTGCTTTAGGGTAGTTATGAACTGCGTTATCGACCCTTTGCTTTTAACTCAAGTCACTCAGTAAGCATTTCAAGTTGTTTTGCATTAATCTCTCAACAGGGAAAACAAGAAATCATTTTCTTCTTGTTGTATGTGATTTGGTTCTGGTAATAGGTCTAGTAACGTAAAATTGTTCTATTGACTGTGTAACCTTTGAATGAAATATTAGGCGGCCAGACTACTGCCTGGGCCCACATTTGAGGCAGATGCTTTCCTACGGTTGTACGAGACTAGAAATTGGAGTACAGAGCACATATGAGGATGTTGCTCGTGATACCAATCGGGGTCACACTGTAGCGGCTGTAGCTGATTGCTTTTCCTTGGCAAAAGATGCGGGTTTTAAGGTGTTTCTCTATATTCTTCTCTAAATATTATTTTTATTTACTATTTTATTCAACTTTTGGTGCAAACCCCTTTTCTGGTACAAAATTCCCTGTTTTACTCACCAAATACACCCAAGTAAGAAGGAAAGATCTGTATTTGCCTGACCTTAAATAAAATATATAGCCCTCTTTCGTAATAAATGGATATGCACTCAAGTTTATCAAATGGATTAGGTGCTAGCCTCCTTCATAATAAATAGACCTGTTTTGTGATATTTTACTAATGAATGAAGGTGGATATGCTCCTTCGAGCCAATTGCATGATTATAAGTTCATTCCATGCCTAACGGCTAACCGCGCTTCATTTCAACGGTAAAGAAGCTCAAAATGAAAATTTGTTGTGAACACGCTAAGATGCGACGGATTCCAATTACTCAAGACCTCTTTCCTCCTGAAATGTTAATGATTCTGACATTAGAAGTTATTTTTTAATTTTTCCCCGTGCCTCTTAATTCACACATTTTTGTTACAGGTAGTTGCTCATATGATGCCTGATCTTCCTAATGTTGGGGTCGAGAGAGATATGGAAAGTTTTAAGGAGTTCTTTGAGAGCCCTTGCTTTAGAGCTGATGGCCTCAAAATTTATCCAACTCTAGTGATTCGTGGAACTGGACTTTATGAACTTTGGAAACTGGCAGGTACAAAATTCAGATTTACATTTTACAACATTGTCTTTTTTCTTTTCTTTAATTTTTTTTTTTTATTTTATTTCTTTTGGAGTTCAATGCAGCTTCCGTGCCAAACTTTTTCATTAGAATAAATGCTAATTTGATTACATTATAATCATATGTGCAGGTATAGAAATTATCCACCCGAACAGCTTGTAGACATTGTAGCTCGAATTCTATCCATGGTTCCTCCATGGACTCGTGTGTATAGAGTTCAGCGAGATATTCCTATGCCTCTAGTTACTTCTGGCGTTGAGAAAGGGAATCTACGGGAGCTAGCTTTAGCTAGGATGGATGACTTGGGCTTGAAATGTAGAGATGTTCGGACACGAGAAGCTGGTATTCAGGCAAGTGAACATAATTTCTTTCCATTCAAAGATGTTTTGATTTATCGATGCAGCTAATTCATATTCTACTTAACAAAATCAGGACATCCACCACAATATAAAACCAGAACAAGTTCAGCTTGTTCGCCGCGATTACACTGCAAATGAGGGCTGGGAAACGTTTCTTTCGTATGAAGACACACACCAGGTGTGTTATTTGACATTTATTTCTTCCTCCACTTATTACCTCTGCCTTTTGCACTGATGTACTAAAAGAGAATCGCAAATTAAACTCATGGAGATAAATACATAATTATTCTGTGCAACTCCGTTTCGATATTACAGCTCCGAAACAAATCAAAAGTTGTTTACAACGAGTTTTTCTATTGTTTAATGAAGCTGTATGTGGATGACTTTGGAGGAAGTGTATTGGCTAAAAGATTGATATTTCTCTCAAGTGCTCTTGAATTTTATTTACTGCCATCGTAAAATACTCGTTCAACCAGCTTGGACAGGTTTTAAAATCATTGAATGGGGTGGCATATTAGACTTGACCTCCGTTTATAAGAGATTTCATTTATTATATTTTTTATGTGCTCTACTTCGTTTACAGGACATACTTGTTGGATTACTGCGGTTGCGGAAATGTGGAAAGAATGTAACATGCCCAGAGCTCGTTGGAAAGTGTTCTATTGTTCGCGAATTACACGTTTACGGGACTGCAGTTCCAGTTCATGGAAGAGAAGCTGATAAACTGCAGCACCAAGGTTACGGTACACTATTAATGGAAGAAGCAGAGCGGATTGCTCTTCGAGAGCACAGGTCGACAAAGATAGGTGTTATTTCGGGTGTAGGAACAAGGCATTACTATAGAAAGTTGGGTTACGAGCTCGAAGGTCCTTACATGGTCAAATACCTCAAATGAGAAAAACGCAAAAAAAAAAAAAACAAACTGGTTTTGGAATTGGAACCAAGTGCGTCTTCCTATTTATGTTGTTGTCTTACCTAGGAGCCCTCGTGAGTTATGCCTCGCGTGTGTTTGCCTTTGTGCAAATCGTAGCTTTTGCTTCTTGTCGATTATGTGTAACAGTATGTGAAAGAATGGTTATGATAATATCGAGTTTTGAGATTTTTTATTCGTGCATCTATTTGTAAGCTATCTATCTATATATCTATCGATGCGCTACTTTGGTTTTGTTTAGCGCTCTAATCGAATTGCTGGATGAATATATTTAGATTTATATATGAAATGAACATATAATTATTTCATGAATTTTGCTTTGGCTAGATGTTATTTTTCAACATTGTGCTGTGCGGTGGGATCACTTTACCATGTTCTACTCGATCATATCGATTTACCCTTGAATTTGTAATATTGTTCGAATGTGGCCCCGACTTTAGTTTACGGCTTTCAACAGGAGCACTGTTAGTGTTTTGTCAAGCTCTAGAAATTACCAAATGCCCGCCCCACTCAACTCATTCCCCTCTGGCATCAAATCCCCAAAGTCGAAGCCTTGGCCCTAACAAAAACACTCATCAATTCGATTTTTGTTACTGCCCCATTTAGAGTTACAATGCTGGTGCTCAACGTGGCTATTTTCCTGTCGATTTTGTCATGACATTTACCTTTTTAATTAACTTGGATCGAAAACACACACACACACACACGTGCATGGCACATGATAGTGATTTCACCCTCATATGTTTGCCATAATTACATATTCACTCATTCCCTTATTTTTCAGAAATTATTGGTAGTTTCAATATATATATATATATATATATATATATATATATATATATATATATATATATATAAACTAGAAATTAAACAATAAAACAGATGCGATCAAGAGAAAAACAAATTCTGGATTAATTTCAAACATAATTGCTTACAATAGAGACCGGAAATAATGGTCGAAAATAAATATGAAGCTGCATTCAATAATTGATCCGAATCGAAAATTAAGGACTAGAACTAATTTCTCCTAACTCAATCCGAAATCTTTCAACGTAATGTCATCGATATCGATATCGAAATCGTACTCTATATTATCCAAATCGATATCGAAATCGTACTCTATATTATCCAAATCAATCTTCTGCATCTTGGAAAACGCATCACGATCTTCTTCGATTCCTTCGTCTTCTGCTAATCTTTTCTTGCCAATGTTCGGCATTCCTAGTAATCGGTCTTCGTCTGAATACACAGCTCGTTCGATTTCATCCTCAAGTAATTGGTCGTCTTCGTCTGTAATAGGGTTTTGTTCTTGTGGAACAATAATTTGTTCGTCTGAATACATAGCTTGTTGGAGTTCATCCGCGAGTAATTGGTCTTCTTCGTCTAAAGTAGGGTTTAGTTCTTGTGGAACAATAATTTCCGGTTGCTTCTTCGTCTTTTCCTTTTTGTTTTCCTTTGAAAAGGTCCTAGTGATTCTACAAATGGCGTAATCTTTAAACTTCAACTCAAAATTCAAACTAACCCCGGCCAATGAAAACTCGTGCATAATCCAGTGACCGTGTTCTTCTTCTTCTTCTTCGCCGCTCCGGCCTTTAGGTTTATTCTTGTAAAAAGTAAACATCTTTGACAAGCCGATTAAATTTCCCGATGACTCGTCGTAAATCTCTTTGCCGCTAGTTTGTCCCTTCCAAGTACCCGATTTTGTTCTTCTCGCGATACGAGTCTTACCGTTAAGACGTAATAACTTGGTAAGAACGTACGTGACGTGCTTGAATTTGTTTTCGGAATGAAAATCGTCCCAATGAACGTCTTGAAAAACTTCCCATGGATCTTTTTGGCCGTAAATATCTTTTTTCGACATCGGATTCCATGGCAGTTGAATCCCCATTGATTCTTTCAACAGGTAGCAATTAATCAGCTCTTCGTCCGACGGTAAGAAGCGATATCCTGGAGCAATCCTCATTCTTCTCTCTCTCTCTCGTTCTTTTCCTCTCTTCTCTCTCTCGTTCTTCTCTTTTTTCTTTTCCTCTCTTCTCTCTCTCGTTCTTCTCTTTTTTCTTCTCTCTCTCTTTCTCTCCCGTTCTCTCTCTTCTCGATCTTTTGATCTCTCTCTCGTTCTTCTCGATCTTTTGATCTCTCTCTCGTTCTTCTCTCTCTTTTAATCTTTCTCTCTGGTTTATTTGGTTTATCTATACAAGATTACGGAATATATATATATATATATATATATATATATATATATATATATATATTGTTTTATGTTCATAACATCTCCTTCAACACGGTACTGCAGCAGCAATAGGACTCTCCCTCTTAATATTTTTTTTTTCTGTAATATATATATATATATATATATATATATATATATATATATATATATATATATATATATTTTAAATTATTGTTTTACACTTTTTACAATATTTGTTTGACAGAGTTGCATGGCAGATTGCTCCGACATCTATTGCAAGATTTGATGGCCTCTTGCTGACTAATAGTCGAAAATGATGTTATCCCATGGAAGATGAAGCCACAAAGCTTCAATTAATTTCAAATTTGTGAAAGTTTCAAATTAAGTTTAAGGGTAAAAAGCATTTTACCCCCTGGACTTTGGGGTGTTTTGCACAGCGCCCCCCCAGCTTACAAAATTTGCACATTTTTACCTAAACTTAGGTAGTTGTTGAACGACGCCCTCCTAACTTACAAAATTTGCACGTTTTTACCTGAACTTCGATAGTTGTTGAACGACGCCCCCTTAAGTGTCTATTTTTGAAAAAAAATAGCCTGAATCTCACACGTGCAAACACACGTGCTTTGCACGTGTGAATCCAAGGTTTAATTTGCTTTTTCCTGTACACTTTTACCACTGTTCTACCTTTCCCTTTGTTACCGTTAGGAGATTCCTAATATTCCTCCCTTTATAAACCATTAGAAGCCCTAATTTTCTGTCCCTTCTCTATTATTGCTATTCCTCTTCTTGATTTGTCGTTGCTTCTTCTTCCAATTTCATGTTGATTTGGTTTCAGTTTCATTAAATAAAACAAAAGAAACAAGATTGAATTTTTTACCCGGTATTTGTCGCAGTTGGTGTATCTTCTTCATGGATTCAGATCAGTTCATGAAGTTTTCATGACTGGTCTTCTCGAACAATAGCACGTCGCGTCCATATGAAATTGAAACCAAATCAAGAAGATGAATGGCAATAATAGAGAAGGGACAGAAGGGCTTCTAATGGTTTATAAAGGGAGGAATATTAGGAATCTCCTAACGGTAACAAAGGGAAAGGTAGAACAGTGGTAAAAGTGTACAGGAAAAGGCAAATTAAACCTTGGATTCACACGTGCAAAGCACGTGTGAGATTCCGGTTATTTTTTTTCAAAAATAGACACTTAAGGGGGCATCGTTCAACAACTACCTAAGTTCAGGTAAAAACGTGCAAATTTTGTAAGCTGGGGGGGCGTCGTTCAACAACTACCTAAGTTCAGGTAAAAACGTGCAAATTTTGTAAGCTGGGGGGGCGCCGTGCAAAACACCCCAAAGTCCAGGGGGTAAAACGCTTTTTACCCTAAGTTTAATTGAGTCCCTGGTACTTTCAATTTCACCCCCTTATGATATTTTCAGGTGAAAAGACATAAAAACCCTTGTACTTCCGCATGTGCATCGCGCGTGCGTTGAAAAATGAGAATATTCGCCGGAATATTCCCCTTAGGTGGTTATGTGCGTCAAAAAACTGAGTTTGGGTGGGCACTTGCAACTTTTTTTAGTTAAGGTGGCAAAATGCAAAAACGGGCAAAGTCCAGGTGGCGAAATGCTATTAACCCACTTTTAAATAGAAAAGGAAAAAGAAATAAATGAAAAGTCAATTTAGAAGCACAAGTTTGAAATATTTGATGAATAAATAAATTATAGGAAAAATTGGAGTGTGAGGGTATTTATCGGAAAAATTGTGTGTGTGGGGGGAATTCAAAAAAAAAACAAAATTGGGGTGTGAGGGTATTTATAGAATAAATTGGGGGTATTCAAAAAAAAGTAAATAACGGCCGGTTCACTAGCCGTTATTTGCTTTTTTTTTTGAATTTTTTTGAATATTTTTTTTTTAAAAAAAAAAATCTGGGTGAACTGCCGGACCGGCCCGGCGGTTCACGGTTCACCATTTCTCAGAACCGGGCCCGTCCAGGGTACGACGGGCCGGTTCACGGGTCCGGGCCGGTTCACTCGGTCAACGGGCCGGTTCCGGGCCCAAAACCGGCCCGTGGCCGTGTCTACAATGCGGCCGCCGCCTTCCCATCATCTTTATCTTTGTTTCTTTCTCAAGAAATTCAGCACCCATCCCTCTCTTTTACTCACAATTAATTGTTTCTTCTATTTTTTTTCTTCTTCCCTCTCTCTTATCTCTCCTTTTCTAATTTTTTTTCTTCTTTTCCACCTTTTTTCTTCATCCCATATTCAGCCACACATCTGTTCGGCAATCCACGATCAAACCCGTCGGATTCCGGCAATCGACGGCCAGATCCGTCAAATTTCGACAACCCACGGCCTACTCCACCCAGATTCGGCCACCCCGGTCATTGACCGGGTTTTTGACATTTGACCCCCACGCCCCCCCTACTAGCATCGGTGGTTGCTACCATCAATTGCAACAACGGCATCAGTGATTTTAGGTACTTATAGGGTAGGGTATTATCTAATTTCTTCTAGCGGCAATTTAAGTGCATATCTGTGTCTACATGAATTCTGAGTTTTGAATACAAATTTATATTGAAATGTTATAACTAATTCCCCATATCTGCAGTTAGGCCAGACAATATATAAACAATTATTGTTTGAGATTAACGTCTTTTTATCTTCTGTGGTTGTTAGAGGTCGCACTACTTTTATTTTTTTAATAGTGTTTTCAAGGTCTAATTAACTCTAAGGAATTGTGCTTTAGCAGTCTAGGATTTTTTCCATCTTTTCGGGTTTTCGGGTTTTCGGGTTTCGGGTTTCGGGTTTCTCTCTTCTAATGATCTTGAGCTATCAATGCCCTATCATAAAAAGCACCCATTTCCCTGTGGCCTATCTTATGTTTCCCGTGGAGATAAGTTTATGCTATATGGTAGTATATTCACATCTGAATGGAATAATATTGATGCAAGATGCATTTCTTGTTTTTCAAATGCCAATAGCATCAAGAATCATCACAAACTCTACATAGCTCATGCATAACTGTGGAAGACAAGAGTAATTTTTTTTTTCCTATTGTGATGGAGTACACATCAATAAGTATAAGGGAATAATTATAAATTCTTTTTTCATAATATCATGATATCTGCACACTGGAATTTACTGATTGTTAAATAAATTTCTTTGATCACATGGTCTCGTGTAAATTTTGTTCGAGTTCAAATTTGAGGGCTCAATGCAGCGGCGGTCTGATCGAAACCAGCTTTCTGCATCAACAAAGCTCGAGCACGTAAATGAGAAGGATATTGATCTCCAACATAGTTATAGAAGAAATAGCTTTTTTAACTTGTATCGAATTGATAAATTAGGTGGCTTCCTTCAATTTTAATGCAAACAGGTATAAAAAAACTAAAATAGCTTTGAATAGCGAATAGCGAAACTTACTGAATCGACAACCAGTGATGGAATTGTGACCGAAAGATAATTAAATATTTGTAACAGATTTGTGATGGGATACTTGTGATGGAATTTTGTGACGGAGGTTTGAATGAATTATTTGTGATCGATGTTAGGGATGGATTATTTGTGACGGACATGTTTTATGACGACATCTGTCACGGACGAGTGATGTAAATTCTCGGTAATTTGTGACACATTAATGACCAATAAAAAGGTTTGTGATGAAATCTGTCACAATACTTGGAGACCCTAGATTACGTATTTGTGACGAAATTAAATTAATTGCGATAGACGTATTTATATTTTGATTTATATAAAAAGGTTTTCGTTATTTGCAAATAAGTTTGAATGAGCTGGAAATATTTATAAAACTAAAAAATTGGATATCCTCTTTTAATTAAGTGCCCTTGTTATGAGCACTTTCGAGATTAAACCTTTTTTTAAATTTCTGCACCGATTTTAAGCAACCTGAATAATGTTCCTTGTTTCAAACTTTTATGGGTGGTACTTTTATGTCGTTGCCGTCAGACTACCGTGATTATTTTATTAGGAACCTTCATGATGCTTTATCCGGGCACACTGTAGCAACAAATTCTTATCTGCGATTTAGACAAACAAGAAAAACTTGTACAAAGATAATTTATTGAATTAAAATAAAATATTGCGGGTTACAAACTCTAATTTAATCCTCTGATTCTTCTCTCCGGAACAATCTGTGTTTGACTTTGAATTTCGGAGACGGGTCGTTGACTTGATCTTCTCCGGATTTGATTTGGATTTGAATAACGTCTTCCGAGGGTCTTGCGACTTGAATCTCGGATCGAAACGCTGAACTTTGACGGGTTTTGACTTGAAGATCTTGATTTGTTGAAGAACGCCCTCGATTTGATGAAGAACGCCTTGAATTTGATGAAGAACGACTTGAATATTGTAGAGAGAATTTTCTCCTACGGTTTTTCTTCTTCTTGAGTTGTTCCTTGAATTGTGTAGGGAGGGTCCCTATTTATAGTGGTAGAATAAGAGTCCTACTTAAAGTCTACTTGATGACGTGGCGCGATTTGATTGGCTCTCTTTAAATTGATATTTATCTCTTATAACTTGGAAGAGAAGAAACAATCCTATTGGCCAATAATTAATTGATAATTATCTCCATGACTTATTTTGCAAGATAAATTATAATTTAATTTAGACACAATTTAATTGGCTAATTTAATTAACCAATTAATTAATTTTATGCGTCTACACACACTTCTGCCAATGTTGAAGAAGCAGTGTCTTACTCCGAGCAGCACAGCGCGACAAAGTGTATTGGAATGACTATTGAAACTTTTAAGGGTGTGGCTTTACTAATCGTAGTTTTCGTGTTTGTGGATTTACTAATTAAACACACATTTTACTAATCGTAGTTTGGAATGTGAGGGTGCATTTGGATGGAGGGATTTGATTTGGGGAATGGATTTGAAATGACTCCAATTTTGGAGTCATTTGAAATTCATCACTATTGCTCCAAAATCAACTAAAAAGGAGGGGTGGAGATTTGAAATCCATCTCCAAATCCCTCAATCCAAACAAGTCCGAGGGATTTGTTATTATGGATTTGAAATCCCTCCCCCAAATCCCTCCATCCAAATGCACCCTGAGTGATTTTTATAATCAAATATATTGTTTTAGTATTATTTAATTATAAAACATATGTGTTCTATTATACATCGGTTTAATGTATGTGGTATTTTTGTGTTTGAAATTAGTGAGAATCATGAGGAGTAGGTGTGACCGTGTGACAGGATAAATATGGTTTTATATGGGAGCGAGATTCGTAAGTAATTTTTTTGGAGGAGATTGCGGTGTAAATCAACAGGGGCAATATTTGTATCTACTATCAGTTTTTTTTTTCCTGGTTTTCCGTTGCAGTAAATAGGCATTTTTAGTATTTTGGGTTGATTGAGTTTATAACAAATATCAATTAAAAAAACGAATTTATCATAAAGCCGAAATTCAACAAGTAGTGTTTGTCAAATAGCTGTTTATTAAAAAGAAAAAAAATCATAAGATAAAATGGGTTATTTTACATATCCATAGCCACCAAATAAACTAGGGGTACACCCAAGCCTAAATCATCATTTGACATACCCCTGGAGAAGCGATATACTACCCTTATATGCAATTTTCGGCCAAAACTGCATTCAGCATTTCTGGTCCTACATCTATCATTTTCGTTGATTTATTTTTTATTATTTCCCCCCCTTTTTTTTTAAATAATAAACCTGTTTGTTATATATATATATATATATATATATATATATATATATATATATATATATATATATATATATATATATATTATTTTTATTTTTTTTTAATTTTTTTTTAAATTAATTTTTTTTTAATTTTCAAAACAATATGTTTATTGTACTGAAAATAAGTACATGTAACTATAGTACCTATAGTAATTCGTAGTTATGCTCGTTTTTTTCCCCATATTTTTTGTCGATCAATTGTATACACACACGAATATTGGCTAGCTTATACAAAAGAAGTTCATAAAAACCCAACAAAAATTTTCAAATTTCAATATTTTTATTATAAATCACCTCATAACCAATAAAATACAAATTGAAAATACACAAATATACGCATATAACTACATGTTACTATAGTAATGTATAGTAATGTACAGTAATGTCTACAGTCTGTTGAACAAAGTAGATGTAACTTCAAACAAAAAATTTGACACCTTCAAGGAAAGGATTAATGACCTTCATTAAGCTGCGATTGCAAAATCAAAACAAAAAAAAAATTTACTTTAGTGCAAATCAACAAAATTTGAAAAAATATCAAAACACTCAAAAATCAACAAACACTAAGAGATCGAGAGATGTTATTGCTGGGACATGCTACAGATTTTAAATCAAATAGACAGTGACTCCTCACTCTCCTCGCCTCCTACCAAAACCCTAGACGCCGCTAATAACCACCCACGGTTCCTAGCGCCCACAAATGCAAAAAATATAGAAATAAATCTGAAAACATAAAAATAAACAAAATTACCATCAAAATATATATCTCGACGAGAGGAATCCAACGGTGGGTAGCCCGTCAAATTTCGACGGGTGGAACACAAAACAAAGCTCCGGTCAGACCACCGTCGTAGAATGGAAAAAAAATGCAGAAACAGATCAGCGCTCCAAACTGAATGAAATCACCACCAAAAGAAAGAGCTCGACGAGAGGAATCCAACGGTAGTTAAACCATCAAATTCAGACCATCGAAGAGGGAGTTATGACTCTGGGAAGCAATTTCGCCGATGGGAGGTTTGTGGAGGCGGGATTTTGAATCTGGGAGAGGAAGAGAAAGACCGAAATGTGTTGGGCTAGGGTTTAAAACTAATTTTAAAAGGGTATTATAGGGACTTTAGAGTAGCCCAGGGGGTATGTCAAAATATTTTCGAAATGAGGAGATATTTCCTAGAGTGTAATCCACTTGGTAGTTAGTTTTATATAATTTGAAAATAATGGGGTCTACAAAATAATCTCAAGATAAAATATTCGGCTGGAGTTTTCTAAACTTTAGTAAAAAAAATTGAAAGATGAGCGTATGAGTTGAATCAAATCATTGGGTTTGAATCATAAATAATATTTTTTTTAACAACACACAATTATAATGTCTTGTTTTGTAACTTAAATTAAATTTATTGACAAATGTAAATAAAATTTTATGAGTAATTATATACACACTTAAATGAAGGCTGCACCTATTTGCAATCTCAAAATTTCTAAGCGCAAGACCTTACTTCATGCAAGACCAAAATATAAATAAATTTACTAAGAGCAAGACTGGAAATTACAAATATGATCCCAATATTAATTCTGATATTATTAATTCAAAAAATGAAAAATGACCATTCTTTTTCACCAACAAAGCCCAACCTCTTCCTTCTTTACAAAAAAAACTCTTTCATATTCTCCAAAAACCCTCATCAAACAAAACCCTCAAATCTTACTAAAACTTGAAAAGAACGACATTATGGACACACGAAACATTAATATGGATGATTATAAGGTCGAAGAACACAATGAGATAAGAAATGTTGTACTTTATTTAGCTTTGTGATCGTTTTTTCGTTTTTCGAAAATAATTTCGCGTACACAAAAATTCGACGTTTACAGGTCGATATTTAGCAATAAAAACGACATTACAACGTCGATTTTCTCAGTTTCTGAATTTTTTTAGGGTAAATAGCACTTAACCCCCTTGTGGTTTGTACATTTTTCACATGACCCCCTTATGGTATGAATTTAGGCACATAACCCCCTTGTGGTTTTGACATTTTGCACATGATCGCCTTATGGTATGAAATTTGGCAGATAACCCCCTTGTGGTTTTGAAATTTTGCACATAACCCCCTTATGGTATGAAATTAGCACATAACCCCCTTTAATAGAAAATAGGAAAATACTAAATTACCCTTATCAGGTCAAAATTCTTGTTTTAATTTGAAAATAATTATTCTATAAAATGAAAAGTTTAATGTATTTTTTTTGTGAGATGAGAAATATATATATATTGTATATTTTTTTAATGTTACAGCACAAAAGGTATATAATACTAGTTATTGTACGACTGACAATTTCTTTATAATTTTAAAAATCAATTTGAAAATCTTTAACATTAGCATTAATTATGATTATTATATTACTATTTTCTATATAATATATTATATTATAGTTGTTACCGAACTTTAATTTTTTTAAGAAACAAAGTCTTTATTTTTTTTATTATTTTGGAAAAATCTAAACAGAAAACATTTCTTTTTTTTTTTGAGGAAAAAAAAAATCATTTCTCTAAAGTTGAAATGAAAATTAAATTTAAAAAAACATATGTGCAGTAAAATAGAAAAAATACACTAATATATTATATTTCTCATTTTACAAAAAAATACATTAAGCTTTTCATTTTATAGAATAATTATTTTTAAATTAAAACAAGAACTTTTTGACTTGATAGGGGTAATTTAGTCTTTTCCAGTTTTCTTTTCAAGGGTTATGTGCTAATTTTATACCATAAGGGGGTCATGTGCAAAATTTCAAAACCACGAGGGGGTTATGTGCCTAATTCCATACCATAAGGGGGTCATGTGCAAAATATCCAAACCATAAAGGGGTTATGTGCCTAAATTCATACCATAAGGGGGTCATGTGCAAAATATTCAAACCACAAGGGGGTTAAGTGCTATTTACCCATTTTTTTTTATTTTCTATTCAATATTATTAGAGACGATTGAAGATTGCATCAATCAAAAACAAGTTTAAATAATATAGGATTAATATCCCTATACCGGCCATGACAATTTTTTTTGTTTAAATGAGTAGTTAACGTTAATTGGGGTTTCTTCATATATGGAGATAATGACTAATAAGGTTAGGTAAACTAAATTAAAGTTTACAAAATTGCAAATCATGCAAATCCTCAATATGTAACAAAACGGGAAAATTACATTTTTCGTCCTCATATTTACCTGCTTTTTCAAAATTGTCCCTAAACATTTTGAAGTTACAATAGTAGTCCTTAATCATGCCATGTTTTGACATAATTGGTCCGCAGTTAATTTTTGCCGTTAAGTTGGATGGAAAATGGCATGTGCCTCTCACATGCCTTCAATCTACAACACTACATGAAAATGGACTTTCAACAACACGCATTGCGTCTTGTTAAAACAGATTTTTCATAATTAAAACTTGATTGAAATTCGAAATTATATAAATTCCAAAAAACAAAATCGATATATATTGTTTTAAATTATTTTGAGAAATATTCTTTAAACAATTGAAACATCGTTTTCAAAAATGAAATATTGCTTTCAAAATCAAGATTTTCGGAATTCAAATGAAAACATTGTTTCAAAATAAAATAAAAATTCGATCCGAATATATAGGTGGGATAAGAAACCTCCATTTCAATCTTCACCCTAATTTAATAATGTAAAACTCGATAAATTGTTTCAAACTATTTTTTGAAGCATTGTCTAAAATAATAATATAATGTTTTAAAACCGGAATTTCTTGAATCCAAATGAAAATTATTGTTTTAAAAAAATAAAAATCTGATCATAATAGGCGGATTAAGAAAACTCCATTCCAATTTTCACCCTTATTTAATAATCTACCTCGATATTTTTTTCAAAATAAATTCAGAAATATTGTTTAAAAAATCATAACATTGTCTAAAAATAGTATTGTGTTTTAAAATTGGAACTTTTGGAAATTGAATGAATATATTATTTTAAAATAAAATAAAAATTCGATCAAACTAGGCGGCATAAGAAAAATCCTTTCCAATTTTCACACATATTGAATGATATAAAACTCGACATATTGTCTCACAATTGAGATTTTTGGAATTGACTAGAGGTGAAAATTGGAATGGAGATTTCTAATTCCCAATTCCTATGAAGTTTTGTATTTTGGTTTGAAACGATATATTTTAATTGAATTCCAAAAATGCCGATTTTGAAACAATATTTTAAATTTTTAAACTATATTTTGATTTTTTTTAAATAATATTTCCGTAATGAGTTGATTTTTTTGGAATTTACGTGATTTTAATTTTATATTAAATTTTAATTAAAAATAATAATTATAAAAAATATGTTTTAACAAGACGCAATGTGTTTTGTTGAAAGTCCATTTTCATGTAGTGTTGTAAATTGAAGGCATGTGAGAGGCACATGCCATTTTCCATCCAACTTAATGGCAAAAATTAACGGTGGACCAATTCTGTCAAAAAATGGCATGATTAAGGACTACAATTGTAACTCCAAAATGTTTGGGGACAGTTTTGAAAAAGTGAGTAAAGTATGAGGGCGAAAAATGTAATTTTCCCTAACAAAACAAAGAATTCTTGTTGAGTAGCTTAACATATTACAATTTCATTCAAAAAATCCAAATATATTAATTAACATCTTCTCTTCGAAGAAAGACATCATTCAAAATATAATTACATTGCATCAGATTTGTATGATGGAAAAAAAATTGTATTTTGGGGATTATTGAGGCTATTTACGAGTTCAAAGAGGTGTGATATTGAAGAAATTAGCCATTTGGAAAACAAGGCTTATGTTCTAAAGAAGATGCAATCTGAAATTGAAGAGATGGATTGAATCTTACGTATCAGGTGCGAAGCACATGTTATTTTCCGTCCAAACTAACTAGCCAAATTGACGGAGGGACGAAAATAGCAGAAAAATGGCATGTTTAGGGATGAATAATGTCACTCCAACTTGTTCAAGGACGAAAAACAAATAAGTGGTAAAGTATAGGGACGAAAAGTTTAATTATCCCAAGAAAATTATTTTGAGTCGCCAAAAAATTCCAAATAATTGCGACGAAAATGTTCCAAACGTCGCTACTTTTGGCGACGAAACCAGTTATCGTCGCGCATATTTTCGACTTATTATGTATTCGTCGCAAGAGATTAGCGACGAAAGGACGGAATCCGTCGGAAAAAATAAAAAGAACATTTTTTCTCCGAAAATACAAAATTGACGATGATTGTTGCGATTCGTCGCAAATTATTCTTCGATGCAGGCTTTGCGACGGGGCGTTTGGCGACTATTCTTGCCCGATTTGGTGATGAATAGTTTTTCGTCGCAAGACCCGAGAAATCATTGCAAAGGTCTTTTTCCGTCGCCAAATTTTGTCGCCAGTCTTGCATTGTAGCCTAATGACCTCCTAGTTGAAGGCCACAGATCTCCACATTTTTTTCAAACCTTTTCTTAGTTTGATACCTTAAAGTACAAAAATACTCCTGATTGAAATGTACATCGTATAGAAAAAAAAAATAAAAAAAAATCAATCTTCTTATTTTCATTTGTTGTAGAGCTGGACATGGGTCGATTTTAACGGCCAATCAACCCACTTTTAATGGTCGAAAATCGATAATTAATCAACCCATATAGTCGGACCGATAAATGTAACCGACCCATGTAAAAATGGGTTGGTCGATGATTCCTGTTTACTCAAAAGTCGATTGGCCGATAATTACCTGACCAACCGACTTTTTTAATAATAAAAAAAATGTAAATATTTAATGTTAATGAATCTAATAAAAGTATGATAATTATTAAGGAAAATAACTAAACCAATAAATTTAATAATAATAATATATCAAATAATTTAACATACAAAGTTATAAAACATTGAGTACTATTTTATTTTATAATTCGTATTTCTTATTCGTCTTTATTTATTTAATTGTTGTAAAATTTAGTAAAGAATACTCTTTGAAAGAATTTATGGTCCCGAATTCGTTTAATACAGAGGTGTTGTCTTAAATGTTGTGACACTTGAATAAACATGCAGCGGAAATAAAAGGAACAATACTCAGAATTGAAAAATGTTCACAAGTAAAAACTTGTGAACTTGCCCTTTACAGGACGGAAAAATATATTAAAATTAGTATTCTAAGAATACAAACAGAAGAGGTGCGAAAACTTCTTCCTTATGAATGAATCTTTTTCAAGATCATTCTTACAATCAAATCTAGATACTAAAAGAAAAATATTAAAAATTCTAGATTTCAAAGAATGTACTCATAAGGAGTACGTACAAGAGATCCTAGAAAACACTCTAAAATTCTCGAGATTAAAACTTCAGCTCTCTTTTTTTTTTCTCGAAATCTGTACAATTCTTGAGTCTTGAGTTTGGTATTTATAGACTTGCCAAGCTTCCACTTCTTAGCCCATGATCTGCAAGAAAACCAACCACAAGAGCACTCAAGAATGTGGGTTAGTGGGTTAGTTTGGAAGTTAAGATAAATTCCATAATTAAATCCACTAAGCACTACTTAACCCACTAACTAAGATTTAGTTTAGAGTTTAAGAAAAGTTAAAAACACATTGTGAAATTAATTCACGTGTTTCAAACTCCCCCTTTTTAACTTTCTGATCAAAACTAAATCGTAGTCAAAGACTCCCCCTGAGATATTGCTTGAACTCCCCCTGAATTTGATAACATTAGAAAAACATAGGAAAAATAAATTAAAACCAAATTCAGCAAGATAGTCCAACAAAAGAAATAACCAAAGTGCAGTCCTAAACAAAAGTTCAGAGGGAAAATAAACAAAACACAAACAAAAACAGAATATTGTTCATGAAAACAATCTAAAGTAAAATATCCAGAGTCTCCAAGGTCTCCTCAGTATCAGCTGCTGCTCCTCCATCACTAGATCCACTGCTTTCTTCTGCTCCTTGAGCTTCACCCTCTTTCTTTGCTTCCTCTTCATTAACTCCTCGCTCTCTGCCTCTAGCATCCAAAGGGTGAGATGTTCCTGCTTCAGCTTCATGACCTTTTTCTCCCCCCTTTTTGATCAGAAAGAGCCTTCTGAATCATCTCCACCATGGACTGATGATAGGTAATCTGAGCTAGAGAATGAGTAAGCTGTTGCAATAGAAGATCTCTAGGAACAGACACAAGAAGGTTAGAAGTGTTGTCAACATGAGGTGCAACACCCTCAGTACCAAGATTATTTTGACCTGATTCAGTTGAGAGAAAATTATCTCCATTCCAGGGAAGATCTTGAACATGAGGAGCTCTCAGAAAATTTTGGGAAACAGTGATCATGCCTTGTGGAGTGTGAAGATATTCTGAGTCATCTTGGCCCAAGTTTTGAGAGAGTAAGATGGAATAGACGAGAGAAGGATAAGGAAGATGAGTGGAGGGTGAAATTTTCTGGGCAAGATGACCAATAGAATCAAAGAACAGTTTGCCAAAATCCACTGGTATTCCCATTCCCAATTTGTACATGAGTACAGCATGAGGTTTAGTTACCACAGAGACATTTTTGGATGGAATCCAATTCATCACTGTGAGTCTAAATAGGACAGAGTAAAAAGCAGTGAGTTGAGACACTTGAAATTTTCTTGGGTGTGCAGGCCAACTTCTTAAACGGTTTCCAGAAATAACTTTGCAAATCTCAGTAAAATCACCATAATTATCCTCATCAATCACAGTAGGAGTTTGTAAATGAGAGTTGATAATTTTGGGAGAAAAAGAAAAGATGGCATTGCGCACAAAAACTTTGCCAAAGTTTGGAGAGTTTTTCTTTAAAAAAGAGGTTTGCAAATTGGCATAAAATTCCTTCACAACCAAGGGATCATAAGAGCAGGCAATCTCAACTAGGTTAAGGATTTTTCTTTGGTGAAGAAAAGCAGTTATCCTATGCCTATCAAATTCTTCCTTAGAAATTTTCTTTTCCTCAATGAATTGACAATTCATGATTTGAGGACTCAACAGTGAATCAGATTCAAAATAAAAATGAGGACTGAAGGCATTGGTTACCTCAAAAGGGGTTGACAAATTCTTCCCATCCAAGTCTGGTTCTTCTTCTTCTGAGGAGTCATCATCTTCTGAATCTTCAAGCTCATCAGGGACATATGCTGGTTCAGGTGATGCAGCAAGTGGGGCAACACCTTCTTCCTGCTGAGAAGAGTCTTCAGAGGATTCACTGTCAGGATCAGAGGAGGGCAAATTTTTGCGAAAAGCAGCTAGAGGAACCTCCCAGCTGTCATCACTTTTCTCTGGTTCTTCAGCCTGAGGAGGAGTTGCATCTGCTTGAACTGCTGCTTCTGCCAGGGTTTCCAGAGGATCTCCATGAGGTGCTGATGGAGTTTCTTCTGTAGTGGTGAAATCTTGAGCATCCACAGATGGAATGTCTACATGCTCTGCTGATGACATTCCAGAAAAATCAGGCATTTCTTCATCCTGATAAGGGGCAGCATCCTCAGCAGCATTCTGAGGAACATTTGCTGAAACAGTAGGTGCAGCAGCATCTTCTGGAGCATGTGCAGCAACACCTTCAGAAACAGGTGCAGCAACACCTTCAGGAACATAATGTTGAGAGGCTGCTGTTGCCATGCTGGGCTGTGACGTCTCCCCCTGAGTTGATGCTGGGGAAGGTGAGTTGTTGGATGAAGACTCGGAGGAGCTGGAGGACAAGGCTTGAGCCTGTGGTGCAGCGAAGGTAGGATCCCCTGCTTCATCATCAGTTTCTTCATCTACCAGATGAAGACCTCTTCGTGGATTTGACCGAACTGGAGTGCGGCTACCTCTGCCTCCTCTTCTTCCACCTCTGCTTCCTCTCCGGGGAGAGTTTTCTCCTCTCCGGCGTTGTGGCACTGCAGTATTCAGATCTGGGAAAGGGTTCGTGCGCTTGGACCGGCGCGTTGGAAACCTTCCGGCGGTGGAAGAGGGACCCACAAAATCGAAGTTGTCTGGGTCAATCGGGTTCAGCTCGTCGCCGGGCTCAATGTAGCTGATAGGAAGAGCATCAAGGTTGACCGGATGAACGATGATGGCTAGATTTGGGTCTGCCACTTCAGGTGCTGCAGCATCGTTGTGGGCATCATCATCGGCGGCTGGAAGAGGATTTCTAGGTGGGGATGCCATGATACAGTAGATAAAGGAAAATAGCTTCTTTGTGCTTTTGATTTTTGATTGTGAGTTTTTGAGAAAAGAAGCACTAAATTTATAAGCCCTAATTTTTGCTGAAGAAAGAAAGAAAAATTGAAGTGGAGAAGGTGAAGAAGTGGTGTCCGTTTTTCTTGGGGAGAGTGTGATTAAGGAGAATAAAATTTCCTTGGTAGTTTAAAGAAGAACCGTGACACATGGCACAATAAAGAGTGGACTTAGTGGAAAAATAAGGGATTAACCCATGTACCCATGACCCATATAAATAGGGATAATTCAATAAAAATAAAAATAAAACCGTAGCACTCATGAAATATTCACAAAAATAGAAAAAGACATTTATTAATGATTAATAGTGAGAAAAATTTGCTGACAGGCATAGATACAATTATATATATATCTATTATATTTCTTTATATATATATATATATATATATATATATATATATATATATATATTTTTTTTTATAATATATATATATATAAACTCTTATTTTCAAGTCAAACAATTCACATGGAACATGATCAAGTGTTCAGTTTGAAGGTTCCTCAGTTACTAAGATATGACTATCAAAATAGAGGAGTTTGACTTATGTGAGTGTAATTATTGGCTAAATGTTTACATGAAGCATGATCACGTTTCAAGGTGAAAGACTTCCAGTTACTGATTTAGAAAATAATACATCACAGTGAAGTCATTATTTAATGAAGCTAATGCTTCAGTAAATTGTGTTGCAGCTTAAGATATTTGATGAGGTGCTGCAACACGTTTCAGGACATGTTTATTGAGTACACATCCCGAGAGATTTTCTGAGTTTTGAAAACCTCTGATAATCTAATGCCTTTGTAAAGATGTCAGCCAGCTGATCTTCTGTAGGAATGTACTTTAAGCACACAATATTTTTCTCAACTATATCACGAATAAAATGATGTTTAATATCTATGTGTTTAGTTCGTGAGTGTTGAACAGGATTTTTTGAAATGTCAATAGCACTTGAATTATCACAATATATGGTCAGGGTATCACTGGTTAACCCATAATCCCCCAACATTTGTTTCATCCAAATTAGTTGACCACAACACCCTCCAGCAGCTACATATTCTGATTCAGCTGTTGAAAGAGATACACAGTTTTGCTTTCTACTAAACCAAGAAACTAGATTATTCCCCAGAAAGAAACATGCACCTGAGGTGCTTTTTCTGTCACTAATATCCCCAGCCCAATCAGAATCACTAAAGCCTATCAAGTTTGTATTTGTGTCTTTGAAAAACTGAATCCCTAAGTCTACTGTACCTGCAACATACCTAATAATCCTCTTCACAGCTTTAAGATGAGTGACCTTGGGATTAGCTTGATATCTGGCACACACACAAACACTAAACATAATGTCAGGTCTGCTTGCTGTTAGATACAGAAGGCTTCCAATCATGCTTCTGTAGAGAGTGCTGTCGACATCTTCTGCAACATCATCCTTAGACAGTTTTTGGCTGGAACCCATTGGAGTTTTCATGTGCTTGGCTGATTCCAACTCAAACCTTTTGACCAGATTGAGAGCATACTTCTTCTGATTCACAAACATTCCTTCACCTGTCTGTTTGATTTCGAGTCCTAAGAAGTAATTCAACTCCCCTGCCATACTCATTTCAAAAGTGTGAGACATAGAATCTACAAAAGACTGCAAAAGGTTAGCACAAGTAGAGCCAAAAACAATGTCATCAACATATATCTGAACAATAATGATATGATTATTAGTTCTTCTAACAAACAAGGTTCTGTCTGCCTCCCCTCTTTTGAACTGTATTTCAAGTAAGAAGTCAGTGAGTCTTTGATACCAAGCTCTAGGAGCTTGTTTAAGACCATACAGTGCCTTCTTAAGCTTGAAAACATGATTAGGTTTGGCAGAATCTTCAAAACCCTTTGGCTGTTCTACATATGCTTCTTCATTTAAAACTCCATTCAGAAATGCACTTTTGATATCCATCTGATACAGTTTGATTTTAAGAAAGCAGGCTATAGCAAGAAGTAATCTAATAGATTCAATTCTAGCTACTGGAGCAAAAGTCTCATCAAAGTCTATACCCTCAATTTGAGTGTATCCTTGTGCTACTAACCTAGCCTTGTTTCTAACAACTGTACCTTTTTCATCAGTTTTGTTTTTGAAGATCCACTTAGTTCCTATCACATTTACATGGCTTGGTCTGGGAACTAAGTACCAAACATCATTCCTGATGAATTGATTCAACTCTTCATGCATTGCATTGACCCAGAAATTCATCCTTCAGAGCTTCTGCAATATTCCTTGGTTCCACTGAAGACACAAAACAAGTGGTTCCAGTTAGTGCACATTCAGAAGATAAATTTGCAAATCTTACCATATCTCTGTAGTTTACTCTCTCTTTTCTTCTGGTCCTTATTCCATCAAAGATATATCCCACTACTTGAGTAGATGGGTGATTTTTCTGGATTCTGCTTGATGGTTCCTTTCTGCAGACATCAAAGGTTGGCTGCAATTCAGTCTCTGTAGGATGTGCTGAGTCAGATGTGGTGACACTTGGCTCAACACCTTCTTCTCTTAAGACTGGACTGTTTGTGTCTGGGCTCTCTGTGGCAGAAGTGTCTTCTTCTGTTGTTTCTCTTTCAGCAATTAAGTCATCAACTTCATCTTCAGCTGTTTTACTGCGGAGATCAGCAAAGTCATCAAATACCACATTTACAGATTCAATAATGATTCGAGTTCTTAGATTGTATACTCTATAAGCATGACTGTTATTAGAGTATCCCATAAATAAACACAAATCACTTTTTGAATCAAACTTAGCTAGATGATCTCTATCATTTAGAACATAGCAGACACATCCAAACACATGCATGTATTCTAGATTAGGTTTCTTACCATAAAGAATTTCATATGAAGTCATCATAGATCCTAATCTTAGATACACACGGTTTGAGATGTGACAGGCTGTGTTGACAGCCTCAGCCCAAAACCTCTTAGACAGATTTTTTGCACCCATCATCACCCTAGCCATTTCCTGGATGGTTCTGTTTTTTCTTTCAGCAATGCCATTTTGCTGAGGAGTTTTTGGAGCAGAAAATTCATGCTTTATACCCTTTTTATTACAAAATGCAAGAAATAAAGCATTCTCAAATTCTTTTCCATGATCAGATCTTATCCTACGTACAGAAACTTGAAATTGAGTTCTAACAAACCTGTACAAATTTCTGAATACTTCAAAAGTGTCTGATTTTTCTCTTAAAAAATACACCCAAGTATATCTTGAAAAATCATCAACACATACAAAGACATATTTTTTACCACCTAGACTTTCTACCTCTATAGGACCCATAAGATCCATATGTACAAGTTCAAAACAAATAGTGGTACCAACGTGTTGCAACACTTTGTGTGGTACTCTGGTTTGTTTTCCCTTCTGGCACATTCCACATATAGGAATATCCTTGATCTTGAGATCTGGTACTCCTCTTATAGCATTGTACTTGTTGAGCAGCTTCAGATTCTTGAAATTTGTGTGGCCTAGTTTCTGGTGCCACAGCTCTACTTCACTTACTCTTGAGCTCTTGCATGAGATGGTGTCACCTGTTTGATAGCAATTATCCATTGATCTGGAACCTGTAAGTACACAATGATTTTGATTATCAAACACAGAACAACAGTATTTGTCAAATTCTACACGTAGATCATCATCACACAATTGACTAATACTGATGAGGTTTGACCCCAATCCTTCAACATGTAAAACATTTGAAAGTTTTGGAAGCCCCTCAATACTGAGTGTTCCACGTCCAACCACTTTGCCTAGCTCCTCCTCCATAGGTTACACGTCCTCCATTAAGTGTGTGGTAGTTTGATAGAAATTCCTTTGTTCCAGTCATGTGCCTAGAGCATCCACTATCAAAGTACCATGAACCTGAAATGTTAGCATTTAAAGAGGTGTATACTGCCTTGCACAAAAGTTTACCTTTGGGAGTCCATATTTTACACTCCTTTTTGGTAAATTCTACCTTTTTCTTTGAGGTGTTCCTTGGAGTGATGTGGCTTATTTTATACAACATTTTGTCACTACTGAGTTTCTCACAAAATGGACGAATGTGTCCTGGTGAGAAACAGTAATGGCAAACATAACCTCTTATTCTGGAGTCTGGAGTAGTGGCCGTGGACTTCCTACATTCCTTTCTGTTTGCACCCTTTTCTCTTACAAAAACAATTTTTTTCTTCTCAACTGGCTTCATTTGTTTTTTGAACCCTAGCCCTTCATGTTTGTAGTGCTTTTCCATTGACACAATCTCTTCGAGTTTAGTTGTGCCAGTGTTCATCCTCTTGATTGCTAGAGTTGCCTTTTTGAGTTCATCTTTCACTTTTGCCAGTTCAAGATCCTTCCTGGTGATTCCAACCTCCAAATGTGTGATTGTTTCTTTGAGGGATGAATTTTCCTTGTTGGCTGCATCTAGAGCTTGAGTCTTCTTCTCCAGGTCAAAAGCCAGTTTTCTACACATTTCTCCCTCATCACTAGCTGCTTCAATGCTGGATTCTGCTGCATTTAAAGAAATAGAGTTTAAACATGTATAATGATCAGTATTTAACTCAGAAATTTCAGTTACTGAAAGTGTTTCAGAAAGTGTTGCAGCATCCAGAGAAACTCTTTGTGATTCTGTTTCAAAATCATTTCCAGTGATATATCTGACAGAGAGAGCTTGTTTAGTGGATTGTTGTTCCTCTGTCTGTTCAGGTTGCTCTTCCTCCTCATCACTGACAGCACAAATCAAACTCATTCCTCTTCTTCTCAAGGTATTTGCACATTCATTAGCATAATGTCCAAATCCAGAACAAGCCCTGCATTTAATGTGATCCAAGTTAGGTGGTTCAGAATTTGAACGAACAAATGAAGAATTTTTAGAAGTATTCTGAGAAGGTGTTTGAGGAAATGCTCTCTGTGAAGTAGATCTGTTCCGGGGCTGAGTTTGTCGAATTTGCGAGGAGCCATCTGGAAATAATTGTCTGGGCTTGATTCCACCTCGCCTGTATGC